CAGTATCTGGAAATCAGTAAGCTTTTTCTCCTCAGAGTTATTAATTGATGTAGAACCTCCTATTGAACTATGCTTGTATTCCTGGAACAAACTCTAGAGTATACTGTATTGCTTTTTAATGAAGTCTGTTGGATTCTGTTTTTATATATTTTATATAGGATTGTTTTACTTATAAATCTTTTTGTATAGTCATTATCAAGTTGAAGTGTTGATGTTACAGGTTCTTCATAAAAAGAATTTGATCTGTTACTTTTTTGCCAGTCTGGTCTTTGAAGGTTAAAGTAGAATCCACTTGTGATGAAACCAGTGGGCTTATTGGTAGTTATTTCCTTAATAACTTTCTCTTTTTCTCCTTGGGGGGCAGGGCCTGCCCATTAGCTCAGGTGTTTAAGTGCCTGCTGAAACAAAGCAGTCAGGCTCCGGATGCTGTGGTTCAATCCCCTCATCCTCAAGCCAAACCAGACCTGCCCCGAAGGCGTCCTGCGCAGCCCCCCAAAAAATAATAATAATAAAATAAAACTCCTCCTAGGAACTTATAATGTTTAAATTACCAATTTGCATTGCTCACCTTTTCACAGATTAATAAAACTCAGGTGTTCCAGTTAGCTATCCCCCCTGGCTGGATTTAGGATCCCTTTGGCTCCCCACAACTTCAAATGTGCTTTTAGTGTCTTCATTCTCCCCATGGGTTGCACTAGCAAGGAGTGCTGGATTGGAATTAACTTGCTAGAATTCCAATAACTTTCCATGAAAGTACAAATAATAAACTTCCTGGACAATGACAACGACTGGAAAGGACTCTCCAAAGCTGTGTTCAAGTTGGCTTTGAAATCTCTGTGTAGCCCAGGCTGGCCTCAAACTTGGAATCCTGTTGACTCAGCATTCTGCGTCCTGGGATTATAGGTGTGCCCTGCTCCATTTTCTTGTCCATTTCATCCATTGATAGACACCTGTGTTGTCCTGGGGCCTCTGTATCTTCTCTGTTGCAGAAATCTCTGCTTTTTATAGCTCATGAAAGAAGATGGGCTGTTTCAAAATATATTAAACCCAGCTATAAAATAATCTGTAATTACAGAAGTGAAGCATCAGATGAAAAAAATTTTGGAGTTGATACTATCACAGAATTGTTCTCTAGGGCAGAGAGATTTCTAAGCGTATTAAATCAGGCCTTCCTTTGCTAGATATGAGACGTGGGAAAAGCTGTAACATGGACAGGTCTTCCTGTAAGCTTGCGAAGCTGTTGGCACTGTCATTGTAACCCTGTCCCTTCCACCAGAGACTGGGCACCTGGCAGGAAGCGCTGCTGGCAAATTCGGAGCCCACCATGACCCCTATACTGCAGGGCATCCTGATGAGGAAGCCCATCTTTCCTGGTTCATCACTACAGTGCTGCCATTGTGACTTCAAAATATTTCTGCTCTAATAGCGGGTGATTTTAGCAGCAGTTTTATTTCTGTGTGGCAGCTGTCACGGCTTTCTTTCAGGTGCATCAACTAGTGTGTGTCATTCATTCCCACTACTTTGATACATCCCTCTCCCACCCACAACGCTGGTGCTGTAGTTGCCTGCAGTGCAGTCTTTGCCTTCAGATACCGCTGCTCTTCTATGGATGGGCAGAGTGTAGTCCTAGCTGCAGTGATAATGACTGGCACGATGCTGAAACGCCAGGCGTAAACCGAGCAAAGGACAGGAGTTCTGTAATTCTCTGCTGCACGTGTCTCTGAAAATAATGGCTGAAGCACATCTTAATTAAGCTAGTTTTATTTGGAAACCTGTAATGAGAATCACTACACAGTAATTACAGGTCAAGATCTCTGGTACTGTTTAGAAGCACACGATCTAAGAAGGTGGTAGTGCTTGGTGCTAGGGAGTGATGGCTGAGGCTGAAAATGCTCTCAGGTTAGGAATTTTCCACTGGGGAAACCTAGCTAATTTCTGGGAGGTTTGGGGTGTTTTTGTTTTTTTAAATAAGGAGTTGTGAAATGTTAAAAAAAAAAAAAAAAGGACATGAGGTGTGAGAGAAAGATTTGCTTATTTGGACACTTGTTTTTGGTGTGGTTCATTCGCCCCTTTTATTCACTTTGTGATGTCACCCAGGAAGGTTTTCTTATTGGGGTGGAGTAGCAGCTTTGTTGAAATAACAGCTGCTGTGCAGTTCACCTATCTAATGTGTAACATTCAGTGATACTTTTTGTGTATCCGTATCTGTGCAACCAGTTTTATTTTTTTTTTTTTTGTGTGTGTGTGTGTGTGTGTGTGTGTGTGTGTGTTTTGTGTGGTATCGAGGATCAGGGTATTGAACTTGGGACCTTGTGCTTTCCAGGCAGGTGCTTATGCCACTGAGCTAGATCCCCAGCTGTATGCAAAAAATTTTAGAATGTGGATCTTCACCCCCCAAAGGAAACAGTGCATCCCTTTACTCTCACTCCCTTTCCCCCACTTTCCGCGTGTTCCCAGAATCTGGTGACTTGTTTGGGTTGCCACAGAACACCTGAGGTCATACAGCTAATGAAGAGCAAGAGCGTCTCACAATTCTGGAGACTGGAGAGTGCAGGGGTGAAGCCCTGGTGAAGTCAGAGTAGGGTGAATGGTGGCAAGATTGTGTCCTCAGAGCAGAGAACTCTAAGGAGCCACTCTGTAAGCTCTTTCTGTAGTAGCATTAACCCGTTGATGGTGACCCAAGCATTTTCATAAGGCCCTACCTCCCCCAGTAGCACTGGGGACTGATTTTCAGCATGTGTTTGGGAAGCAACAGCACTGGGCAGCAGTCTGGATCTCCAGATTGGCCTATCCTAGAATTCTACATACCTGGAATCCTAATGTGACTGGCATCTTTCATTTCGTATGGCATTTTCAGGGCTCAGCCTTATGAAGTATTTTGGAATATCACTCGTTTTCATTGGTTGGTTATACTCTGTTGGATGTGTACACATTTTATTTATCTTTATCAGTTGATGTACATTTGAGATGTTTCTATTTAATGGCTGTTAGGATGAATACTACTGTGAGCATTTATATATAGTGTTTGTACAGACGTGTTTTCATTTCTCGGATAGAACTGCAGGAGCACATGGAACTTGTTTAACCTTTGAGCAGCTGTCAAGCCATTTTGCAGATTGGCAGCTACGCCAACTTATAGTTCTCCACGAGTAATTTCTGAGAGTCCCAGTTTCACCACATTGCTCCCCAGCAGTTCTCAGCCATCCAGATGTGTCACACACATGGTTTTAATTTGCATATCCTGTTGGCTGATGTTGAGGAGCTTGTGTTTGCTTAATGGGCACTGTATATCATTGGGAAAATGTCTATTTAAACCTTTACTTGGTTTTGAGCTGAGTTACCTTTATCCCAAGTTGTAGGATTTTTGAAGATCCTTGTATGTTATATGATGTACACGTATTTCTTCAGTACATGGGTTGTTACAATAACCATCTGGGTTGAGGACCTCCTGTGGGTCAGCTCTGCCAGGGCAACTATAGAATGATTATTATTTTTTTAATTCCCATTAGTGATAACCCAGAGGTAGAAATGATGTTACCCTTAGTTTATATATGCAAAGACATAGGCCTAAGCAAGTTAAGAACTAGCCAGATCAAGCTGTAGATGGGTAGTGTGTAAGGTCCAAGCCACTCGTGGGCCTCCTGTATGCACAGCCTGGCCTCTGCTGGGACGTGTGCCCACATGGCACTGCACACCTCGGGCCGGGGCTGGAGGTTCCTGCGTGCCTAGCATGTGGGTTCAGGCTGCGAGTGTTCATATAGAGTCTAGTCTGCAAGTGGGTGCTCCTGTCTCTGAGTTCTCTGAGTCTCTGACTGAGCACAGTCCACGGGGCCTCAGTTTTCCTGTGGTTATTTTTATTTGTAATGTAGTTAGACAAGATGGATGAAATGTCTTTCATAAATGAGCCTTAGCTTGGTAAAAGCAGCGCTGAATTAGGACTCTGGGGAATTACACATGATGAGTCTGGCTGTTACATAAGAAGGATCGCCTGAGCAGCCGAAGCATCCCCCAGCCCCGGTGGGGTCAGCTGATGGGTGCCCAGCTTTCCAGAACTCATTCACACAGCAGTGCAGGGCCATGTTCCCGGATGTCACAGAATGCCTTTCTGTCCCAGGAGGGCTTTACCCAGCACCTGTGGGCTGGGAGGATGGTGCCCTTCCCAGGCTGGCAGGTGGTACCTCATAGAGCAGGTTGCTGCCTCTTCTGTGCTGTAGCTCAGGTTTTTAAGTCTGCATAAACAGTAGTAAACTCTGGAAAATTGTAGGATAGCACCATCTTTACCTTTCAGAATTTAATCTTCTTTGAAAAATATACTTCTAGGATATAAGAGGATAATAGAGGTAATAGATGTGATCAAAATATGTGTATAGATTAAAATATCATATTGAAATCCAGTATTTTGTAAAATTAATAGGCACTAATAAAATATAACTTAAAAAAAAAAAGAACTGAAAGTTGGCCTGCTAAAAGGGATAGTGGGCTTCCAGACTGAAAGTAATTGTGGTGTAATCAGGTGTAACAGCAATAAATCAAGTTAAATTTTACTTTTAAAAATCTGCTTATTGGGGCCGGGGAAATGGCTCAGTGGAATAAGCACTTCCCTGGCAAGCGCAAGGGCCTGAGTTCAATCCCCGGTTCTGCAAAAAAAAAAAAAAAAAAAAAAAAAAAAAATCTGCTTATTACCAGACCAATGTAAAACTGAGTTTTCGTCATACTCTTTGGCGGGTGCTGCAAATTTAGCCAGGCAAGTCTGGAGTCTCTCATCAGCGATGTCTGCAGGCGGTCTGGATGGAGCCTTTCCACGTGTGCCTCAGTCTTCACATCTGGAGGGCGGGGTCCCTGACGTCTGCTCTGAAGAGCTCCGGGGACCCTGCAACACCTGTGGGACTCCTGACTCCTAGTGCTCGGGATGTGTCTGCAATAATACTGAGGGTGCTAAGATGAGGGACTTGGATGGCCGGTGTGATAAAATGTAACCTTGTATTTGAATTTTTTCTTAGAGGAAACACAAGAATAGAAGAGGCATGTGAAATGTATACTAGAGCTGCAAACATGTTCAAGATGGCTAAAAACTGGAGTGGTATGTACAACTTTTTATTTTTTGACTTTCAGACAAATAGTTAAAAATCATTTTGTAGGAGGACTGGACTGCTTTTATTTCCCATGGGCTGGAGACAAGAGTTAGTGCGATAAAGACCTCACCCCGGTGAATCCAGCTGGAAACCTAATGTCAGGCTTCAGCACGGGCAGTGTCAGGTTTAGTGTCTATAGACTGCCTAATACACTAAGCTTAAGATAACTGAAGAGAGGTAAAGTGACTTGAAATTAGGGAGAGTGATCTTTGCCGCTTACTAATGTGCTAAAACAGGTGCTACAGGAATGAGGTTGAAGCAGAACTCAATAAAGCCAGCAGGATAAAATACAAGTGCCTCATTTTCTTCGTGTAAGCATTAGTTGGGAATTTCTAACTGTTCCCAGCTCTGAGAAGGTGACTGAGTCCACTGGGAACTGCTGTTCGGGGGGATCTTTTGCAAGCACCCGAGCAGGTGCTCCCATTGCCTCAAGTCACAGGACAGAATCAGCAGGATTACTCTTGGCCTGCCAGGGGATGACTCTTTCCAACAGTGGCTTGAGAGGCTGGTATATCGCCTCCCTGAAAGAGAGTTTCAAGGCTTGGTTGGTGCCTCCAGGAGACCTGGTCCCTGGCTCTGGGCACGGTGCTGCGAGGTGGACAGCAATTTCCATGCCTCCTGTGAGCTGTTGCCCCTTTGCTTACAGGGCAGTTACTTTAAAATCATTTCAAAGGGAAAGTGCTTCTTTTATAGCTTTAGTTTTGGATAGGACTGTAGTTAGGGGAGATACTATGTTTTCGAAATGTGTCTACATCTGAATTATATATTGAAAAATGGAGAGGCGAAAATACTATACTGGTATCCTCACCTTTTGTTCACGTCTGTAACCCTAAGTTAAGTATCTTTCCCAAGAGAACACACACTTAATGATCTAGTGAGTGGATCGTCTCCCCCTCAATGCCGTCACCAGGCTGACGTGCCCACGCTGCACTCCCCCACCCTGTTCAGGCTCTTCTCTACAGTCATCTTAGCTTTCTGCCTGGGTCACTCTTCCCAGAAACTTCCTTCCCTTTGCTCCAGTGCCCTTCATCGTGGGCTGGCAACAGTAAATGGATCGTGTAGTGTTTGTTACTTCTGTTTGTGCTTTTGTTATTTAGTGGCCCTTATTAGAATATACACCTTGGAAGAGCAGGGTGCTTCCTTTATCCCTGCTGTCTCCAGGCCAGAATTTGTATCTGTAGCATAGCAGGTGTTCAATATATTTGTTAGTGAATGAATAATCAGACACCATTCCATCTCTGGGTGATTTTTAAAAGTTCTTTTATGATAAGCCACTGCCTTTGTTAACTCAGCTTTGGGAGATCATTATGGCAAGTATTAGAGCAGTTTTACAGATAAGGAAATGTAGCCTGAGAAGTTGGATGCCTTCACAGAGACCATTGAGTATGGCGTGTCTTAAAAGACACTTCCAGGCCTGGAGGGACCAAGCTGGCATTGCTAGCAGTGATTGAATGAGTACTCAGAGTGTACTCCCAAGCCAGAGGCCGGCTGGGAATGAGTCAGAGTGCAGGACTGCACTGCGTGGAGAGCAGAGGCTGCCAAGAGAGCCTGGGAGTTGTGCCCTCCGCTCAGCAGTGCACAGGGAGACCATGAGTGCTCCTAGGACAGCGGACATTGACTGTTGAAAATGCAGTGCTGGCAGGAGAGGGATGTAAGTTGTAAAGAACAATGGAATGTAAATATGTCCAAGCCCAGACAGAGTGAAGGGAAGATTTACACACTGTCATGAACTTGATGTGGCCTGGGCCTGGCCCTTCCAGGCACTCAGTGGAGCCATATGGCTGGGGCGCTCTGAGGAGGCAGAGCCTTCAGAGCCACTGTCCAGCTGGCGCCTCCCTCTCTGCCTCTTGGTGGTGAGCCACTCCCTGAAAACACCTTGGGCATCACCCTGGCAGAGGCCTGAGCCCTCCTCTGGCCTCCTGCCTGTGAGTCACCGAGCTGGTAGCATCTACTCTCTCTGGTGGGAGCCTCCCTTTGTCTGGAAATTGCCATAACCTAGTAATTTATAAAACAGAAACTTCTGCTTACAGTTTTGAAAGTGAGGATCCAGGTGGTCGCAGATTCAGGACAGCTGCCTACTGCCTCTAAGGTGGCAGACAGGACAAGGCAGCTGCCCTCAGCATCCTTCGTAGCCCCAGTTCTTGAGGGCTGAGCCTGATGAGGAGTGACTTAATCACGTTCCTGGAGCCCTGACCTTGATGCTGTCCTCAGACACATTATGTCCAATTCATGAATTCTTAGGGAACATGAGATTTTTTTTTTCCATTTAATAATAAAATTTTATTTTTTCCAAATGTATACCGCTTAAACCTCTTCATCATGCATCTTCACTGGTGGCAGAGGCATCTCCACTCTTTGTATTTCTGGTATAAATACCTTGAGCTCTGTGCTTTGATACCAGCTTGATAAGCCCTTTACTAAAGAGCTCCTAAAAGGCTGCTCTGGCCAGTGATCCACGGATCTTCAGTCTCTCAGAGATCAACTTCCTTACAGAGTTTGTCATAAGTAGCTTTATCAAACAGAGCCAGGTTGTTGAGCTTGTCCCCAACTTTGCCTTTGGACCACTTCTTTTTGGCCTTGCACCCAGATTTGTTCACTGGGTCTTTGTCTTTCTTGGCTGACTTTCCAGCATCTTGTTTCTTCTTGTCATCTTTAGGCAGCATTGCAGAGCCTGGAGAACAGCAGCTACCAGGAACATGAGATTTCGCAGAGCAGTACCTGTGTCATGCTGGTAGTTCTGCATTTTCAGAACTACCTGGTGCTCTTTTCATCAGAAACCAGGTCTTAGAGCAGGAACTGGCCCAGGCCAGACTGGCTCCAGGGTTTGTGTGGCCACTTCCGCCTGAGGTGGAAGTCCAGAACCCTGTGTGGTAATCAGTGGCACCTCTGGAGAGTGACATAGGACAGGGATGCAGCTAAAGCTTTAACACAACTGGATGCTTTATTTCCCACAAATTTAAAGCAGTTGGTTAGCCTTAGAATTGGGTACTGGTTTATGATTAGAAATATTTTAGATCTTTTTTTTTTTTTTTTTAGATAAGGTCTCCCTATGTAGTCTGAGCTGGCCTCAAACTCATCCTCTTTCCTTGGCCTCCTGAGTGTTAGGATTGCAGGTGTGCCCTGCCACACCTGGTACCGACTCTGGCCTTTATAAAATGTAGGCGCCCTGGACTTGCTGAACCGTGCTATGACTGGAATGCGGCTCTCTAGGAGGGCCAACACTTACAGCCTGGACTGTGGTGCATGGAGTCTTGTTCCTCTGTTTCACTGTGCTGTTGTCTTCTGCAGCTGCAGGAAATGCCTTTTGTCAGGCCGCCAAGCTCCACATGCAGCTTCAGAGCAAGCACGACTCTGCCACCAGCTTCGTAGATGCAGGGAATGCGTACAAGAAGGCGGACCCTCAAGGTAAGGCAGCTGCTGGGCTCTGCAGGACTGAGCCAGGTTGCTTCAGCCTCAGGGCTGGTGTCATGTCCTTTTGCGTCCTCTAAAATGCCAAAGGAATGTGGTAACTTCAGAAGATGTCATTCTTTAATTCTTTGTGGGTCTTCGTGTAGAGACACTATTTTGTACTTAGCATGACTGTGTGGTAATCAACACCATTTTCTTAAACTCCACTTTTGTTACATTTTGGAGACTCTTGGAAATTAACATTCATTTTATCTAAGAGTTCTTATATCTCAACTGTACAAAATATGGTTTTGATCAAGTAAGGAAAGTTTGCTGTTTTCCTTTTCCTGATTATCCAGTGAGTTTTAAGCTTCATTTGGTAGGAGATTGCTATATCCAGTAGTGAAAAACATCGCTTAGTCACACAGTGTTCATTTGCTTTGTTTTTCAGTGTATTTCAAAATTTTTATTTTGAGAAAAAAAAATGAAATCACATTTAAAGTGGTAAAGTGGTAAAATTCTGCATGTGTTCTTTTTTTAGTGTGAAGAGCATACTTAGCAATTGTCTTTCTTCCCACGTGTGTATGGATAGCTTTTGGATCTCCTTTTTTTCTTTGAGTCTTCCATTTTGTGTAACAAAAAAATCTCACTTTTATGAATAGGCATAAAGAAGTAAGGGGTCCCCAAAGGCTTTGTATAAAGATGGTTACAGCTCAGTGAAGGTGGGGTGTAGCCTCCATGAGCTCTGGGGTTTGGGGGTGAACTTAGAGTACAGTACAATGTGGCATGAAGATCCTGGTTTCAGACTCTTCCATGGCCTGTGAATGTTCATGTTGTAATTAGAGAGTCACGCAAGATCTCAGTTTGAGGCAGGAGGAAGCCCGTCTGAGTGCTGACGCTGGGGCAGGCATGTGGGGTTGGAAGTCGGCTCTTTATTGTATAGTTGTTATAGTTAATCCACATTTTTATGTGGTTACTGGAAAAAATGCTTTTAATTTTTGTCATTCTGCTTACTTTTCTAATTCTGGAATCGAGCTCTTCTGTGTTGCTGCCTCTTTCAAGCCAAAAGTGCTCAGCATGGAGCTGTCAGCCAGGTGGCAGCAGTGTGGGTGCCACCATTTTGTGACAGAGAAAACTTTCAGTTTTAGAAAATGATCATCACCATCCATCAGACTTTTTCCTTCCATTGTGGCTGTGTTAGTGCCCTGGAATTTGGCACCTTTCATATAGTGTTGGGCCTCACTGAACCGCAGCCTGAACAGGCATTTCAGAGCACACTTGGTTTTTGCTGCACAAAGGTAGACTGTAGACAGAAAGAGCACATTTACTTACACATATTAGCAGATGTTATTTGTTTATGGGGGTGACAGTGCTTGTGTGTGTGTCACCTGGGTAGAGTCCTCACTTCAAGGTTCTGAGTAACTGAGCTGCTAGCCCTCCAGCCCCCTCGCTCAGTTACACTCTTGCTGCTGGACTCATGCATGATGTGCTTGCTCCTTCGTAATGCCCACCCTGTGCCCTGATTGTACTTCATTGCCACTCTAATGACAGCCAAGAAAACAGGCTCACCTGAATCCTCTGTGACTGAATGGATTTTTCATTGTTTTTCTTAAATGCCTACGCTTCAGAGGCTATCAACTGCTTAAATGCAGCCATCGACATTTACACAGACATGGTAAGACGTTGCCTTGCTTGATGGCTGTGGGGTGGAGGCCCTGAGATGGCTTAGAGTTGGATTTTGGTTCTGTTCCCAGTCCAAGTGGCATTCTCATAGGTGAGGCTGGCAAATGACTCTGGCCTTCTCCCCTAGGGAAGGTTCACGATTGCCGCCAAGCACCACATCACCATCGCTGAGATCTACGAGACTGAGCTGGTGGACATTGAAAAGGTAAGCACTGGACACAGCTGCCCATAACCTCTGTGCATAGTAAGTGGACAGGGAGTCCGGGACCGACTCCTCTCTGGTGGCTGGGGTGGCAGAACAGTCACAGGAGGCCAAGTGGAACAGAGCCCGGTGGATCCCTCCCCTTCCTGCAGCTGTCACTAGCTCCCCACCCCCAAGGAGCAGCGGCCTTGTGCCTGGCCACCACACCCACCAACTTCTCCCTCCTCCCCTGCGTCATGTGCACTGAGCCCCTTGCTTCTCTCACTACCCTCACACAAGCCATATGAGCTCCTGCCAGGACCGCCGCCACCTGCAGAGTTCTGTTGTCCATGTGGCTTCTCATGTCTGTCATACCCACACATAGACTCCCCACGGCCTTCAGCCTCTGATGCCCATCGTCTTTTCCTCGAGGCCCGTCATGCCCCTTTAGCTCACACTCTCACCATGGCTGCTCAGGAGCTGCCTGCTGCCTCCCTGAGCTTCTTTCCTCTTGCTTCTTGCATGTGCATGTGGCCTGTGTGATATGCAGCTCCGCAGTGGTAGCAGGGCCCTGTGAGCCTGTGCTGGGCAAGTGTCCACCCCATCCTGACCCAACAGGTAGCAGGGGAGCCTCTGAGCAGCAACAAGACTGAGCTCACTGCCTTTTGGCGACTGCACTGTGTGCTCGTGCTGTGTGATGTTGATTCTTGCCCACCCCCCATAACTGCTATGCTTTGCAAGCAAGCTGAGATCCTGATAAACAGGGCTGCCTCACACCTCAGCACATTGTGTGAGCTTCTCTCTAGAAGGCTGCTGGTGGGTTCTGAGCCTCATGGCAGTTCCCCATGAGGGGTGAGTGCTAGGCAGGAGGGAGCAGAACCTTTGCTGGATCCGGGGTCCGGTCTGGGCATGGCATTTTCATGAGGAGGAGTGAATAGTTGGGGGCAGCACTGGCTTGGCTTCCTGGCCCATGGCAGTCAGAGCAGTGCTGTGGGGTGGGAGCCATGGTCTTGTGCCATCTCTGCTACTGGGTGTGGTCTCAGGCAGTTCACCACAAGAGTTGAGTCTCATAAAGTTGGTGTGGATAAATGAAACCGCCTGTAGCTGTTTTCCTCCTTTTTAACAAAATGGACACTGCTTCTGAAATCTGTTTCCTCAGTGTGCCTGCCATTCCAGTAACTGCCAGCCAGTAGGTGGCACCTTCCTTCTCCGGTGTGGCACTTCCCTTTACAAACTGGTGGGAGAAGAAGGCTTCCTTGCAGGCGCACAAGGATGGGCTCCTGCACTGTGGAGAAGCGCCTTTGCCTGCTCTGTCCTGATCAGACTCACAGGGTTGTGGTCAGGGATGTGCAAAATTCAAGTCTGAGAGAAAAATCCCCAAGGTTCTGTATTCACAAGTTTGCTACAAATTCAAGCTTCCCCTTTAGTGCTCCCCGGTGGCGTTCTTGATTACGCCCAGATGGTAGTGGTGGCATAGTGAGCTGTGCTTTTGCCTAAACTCAGTGGCCTCCCTTAATCCCAACAGAAACCCTGACTGCCGCAGCATGTGGGTCCTCTTGGAGGATCTGGCCGAGATCAGAGCAGCTGTGGCTCCTTCTGCTTCCAGCCCCCGCAGGACCTGATCTGACGCTTGGTGCAGTGCAGGGACAGCATGTGGCAGGTTTCTGATCTGTCCATTCCCAGAGTGTTAGTTTTAGAAGACTGGTCCCATTTAAGGCCCATGAGGCCGTCTCCTCCAGGGTCCTCCTTGTGGGAGCCATCTTCGGGTATGTTATGCCACACCTGCTCTCACTGGTTGTTGCGACTCTGCACTCTATGTGCGTGCCCCGGGGTGATGCACATCCACTCTGCCCTGACCTTTCTTCAAGTCTGGTCTCAGGCACCGCTTGGGAGAACATGGAGTTGGAAGATTGGTTTGATTAGAATTATTAAAATCCAAACTGAAAACTTGTGTTTTACTCTGACATAGGTAGTTATAGCTTTTAATTTTCCCAACTACAGTTTCCTGACCCAGCACCAGACCTTAATAGATACTAAGTTAAACCCTATTAATTTTTGGCCATCTCCCCTCCAAGAGAAAAAACAAAAAACAATAGCATTTCTGTGTGGCTTGGCTAGTGCACTGTTCTTTGATAACTGGTAAGAACTAGAAAGAAGACAGCTGCTTCCTCCATCCAGGCAGAGGAAATATTCTCTGATCTCTATAGAAAATCTGGTCTTGCTTTTTATGGCTTAGCCTGTTTATTACAGTGGCAAACAGTGCTGAACACTCCAGGCAGTTCAGAGGTTCAGGGGAGGGGTACCGGAGATTGAATCTATGGCCTGTGTGCGGCAGACAGCCACCGTACCACTGAGCAACCCTGCAGCCCTACAGGTTTTCAAGTAAGCATATTCACTTTTTCAAGTAAGCATGTTCACAAAGAACAGTGCACCAGCCAAGCCACACAGATTAAAGTATGGGCAGGAGTGGAGCATGGTCCCTCAGCTGTGCTGCCTCCTGTCTGTGTTCACTTACCATCTGTTTGTTGAGCACCTGCCCTGTGCTGGACTTGGTGCCATGTGCACGTGCCATACATTCGAAGTAAATTGCACAGCCTTCCTGGAGCTTGCCTCCAGCCCTTGGTCCCATGGTCCCATAGTCCCCTGGGCAGGATTACTTACTGGGCACATGACCCTAACACGAGTATCCAGCTCAGAGAAGTGTTCCAAAGGAACCTGTTCTTCCTGAGACTCCAGTATGCAACTGGATCATAAAGTACACCTCTTCCTTTATGATTATGGTGCCTTTGTTATTTTTGGAGGTATTAGAGATTAAATCCAAAACCTTTGCAGTGAGCTGTATCCCCAACTTTTTAAAAGAAAAATTTATTTAATTTGAGGCAAGGTCTTACTAAGTTACTAGACTGGACTCAACTTTGTGATCCTCCTGCCTCAGCCTCCCAAGGTGCTGGGATTACAGGCATGTGTCACCTTGCTCAGCTTGTTTTAGAAACTAGTAAGAAGTTTTCACCTTGATACTTTTTGCCCATTGCCTTTAAATCCTAGCCCTGTAGTCCAGTATATATAACCACTTAAGTTGTCTCTGGTGTTCCTCCTTTTATATATAATGCTGAGAAAAAATTACTTGTGGAGGCCTATTGGTTAGGCTAAGTGGCTGAAACCATGAGCACAAATATAATCATTCAAAGAAATGTCAGCCTTTGGTTTCAGGGGTTTTTAAAATTTATTTTGTATTTTTTTGATACTAGGAATTGAACTCAGGACCTTGTGCTTGCCACTGAACTATCCCCCTGGCCCTGCTTTTATTTTTTGTTAGTACTGGGGCTTGAACCCAGCATGTCATACATTTGAGTCAAGTGTCTTACCACACCAAGCTATGTCCTCAGCCCAGTGTGTCTTTTTCCAAACAGTACAAGGCCGATGTCCTAGGTGAGGTGTGTGGTATTCCAGAGCCTAGGGCAGTATTGGCTCTGCCAGCCTCACCACATGGCTTCAAAGGTGGCCCTGCTCTGTGGTCAGCACCACTGCCACCTGCAGAAAGGCAGAGGCTGGGCTTTATGGGCCGAGTCTGCCTCCAGGGAGCTCCCTGTGCTGGTGACCAAGGCAGGGGTGTCTACCGCAGTTCCCCAGCTATTCTCGTGGTTGGCTCTTATTCTTGCACCCAGCTCCTAACACTCTAGGGGCTGCCCTGCGCCACAGAGGTAAGTGGGCTGCCTACCGGAGGCTGAGCCTGAATCTCATTTTTACACACTGCCGGCTCCCTTACCCTGGTGCTTAGCAGGAAGCCATGTGCACAAGCCAGGATCCTGTAGACCATCACTATTTGTGTAAGTCTGCAAGGTGCAAATGGCTCCCATATCCTCAATTCACTGGGAAGAAGAAAGCATTTGTGCTATGTGAAAGTAAGTCAGTTAGACCACATTGTGCATGGATAAAGTTTCATGGGGACACAGCCACAGGTACATCTTGTGCATGGTCACACTACCATGGGAGAGAGCCACAGCACATACTGGGTGGCTCACAAAGCCCAAGACATCTGACTTGTTACAGAAAAGCTTCGTTGGATCCCTGGCTTAAAGCCTTGTATAGAGCCAACTCTTGCCCTGTGGAGGTAGAAACCTCAGCTTCTTCAGTATCATGGGACCCTTATCCCTGACTGTGACTTGTCCCCTTCTTTTGCTGCCTGTAACTCAGCATTCCTGTAAACAGCAGCCTTGTATAGTTTCTGGTTCTGGTGGATACTGTTCTCTCTCCTGATTTATTTCACTCCCTCTTCTGCCACACCAGGACAAAACCCCAGGCTGACCAGCCCTCAGCCAGGCTTTTCTCCACTTGGCCGGTAGCTGGGTGTCAAACATTCCAGTGCAGGAAGCGCACTTCCTCCAGGTGATGCTTACAGCATTGCTGAGCATAGTTTGCACTGCTAGAGTTAAGTCACAGGCTTGCCGTGTCCTAGGGCTCCTTATTGTGCTAAGGTAACAATCCAGCACAGCTGCTATGGGTTCAACTAGGTTGGAGTGCATTCTGCCCTTTGGGGTTATGTAGGAAGCAGGCTGGCAGAGTTCTGGCGCCTTTAATCTGTGACCTGTAGTGTCCCTCTAGATGTGACCATTGCTGTTGTAGCTTATGGGGCATAGGAGAGGCCTGGAGAAGGTGAAAATAACATGCATGACCCCAGCTCAGAAGCTGCCCTGGCCTTCTTGTTCCATTCTGTTAAGAGAGAACTCGCCCATCTTTCCTTCAGAAAAGCTGGAGAGACGTGCGCTGGGTGTTGGCTGGAGGGAAAGGAGAAAATCTTGCTGGATAGCAAGTGTTCTGCCACAGAGAGGCTTCTGCGTGTGTTTCCTAAGTAAAGCAGGCCAAGTTATGAGAGCTGTACCGTAGGCACAGGATGACTTACAGGAAAATAACTATGTGAACATAGTTTTTAAATGTAGCTCTTCAAATGGATTGAGAATAAAATTTGTGTATTTTTAGGCTATTGCACATTATGAACAGTCTGCCGATTATTACAAAGGAGAAGAATCTAATAGGTGAGTATTTTTTTGGTTTAAATTTATTTATTTATTTATTTATTTGTTATTAATTCATTTGGTACATAGTCTCACTGCACAGTTCAAACTCATAGTGATCTTCCTGTCTCAGTCTCCCCAGTGCTGAGATTACAGGTGTGTACCACCACACCAGGTTCTAGGGATCAAACTTGGGTCCTTGCACTTGCCAGGCAGGTGCTTAGACCATCAAACTGTCTCCCCAGCCCTTATTTTCTTGATATTAGATGGTGGATTTTATGTGTGTCATAAGAGATCATTTTTATATTGGGGTCTTTGCATGGAGTGAAAGGAAACTGGGCCTCGTGTGCACACCACTGTTTCCTGTGGTGCTTACTCGTTTGTTCTGCCTGGTTCCAGCTCTGCCAACAAGTGTCTGCTGAAGGTGGCCGCCTATGCTGCGCAGTTGGAGCAGTACCAGAAAGCCATCGAGATCTACGAGCAGGTGGGGTGCTTGCGTCACCCTTCTGAATTGGGCTCGTTCCTAGATTCCTTTTATGGGACATAGTTCACATGCTGCATAACTCATCCTTTCAGTTCAGAAGCCTGGCACTTTCACAGGGTGTGCAACCACTGCCACAACCTCATGCCAGCACCTTCCCAGCATCTCCAGTCTGCTGGCTCCCATTTGAGCTGTGATGGAATCTAGTTCTTTTCCATGCTGGCCATTCACTGGCTCTGTGTCTTCCCTATGTTCCCTTATTATTATTTTTTTTATCTGAATCTACTCTAGATTTACGAATCCCTTCTTTCATTATGGTTGTCATCTCTTTAGTCACCTCACTTTTCTTCAGAATACTTATTGATCTGTGTTGTTATTTCTGCTGCTACCGTCTCATAAAATCCTGCTGGTGGTTTTTGATTCTTCCACTGCACTGCCCTCTTGATTTGCTTTGAGTAAGTTAGGGGTTATGTGTTTTCTCTTTTTGTTACAAGCCTTCACTGAGGCTTGTAAATTGTTCACAGTAGGGGCCAGGGAGATAGCTCAGTAGAATAAGTGCTTGCCTAGCAAGCACAAGGGCCTGAGTTCAATCCCCAGTTCAATAAATAAATAAATAAATAAATAAATAAATAAAAATTGTTCACAGTATGTAGCTTTGTTACTAGTGTCAAAAACTTTTAGAAAATGACTATTTTTCAGAGTCTTTTGGTTTTTCAGTCTGTTTCATGATTCTACCTTTGTGTTAGGCATGATGGTACTTATAATCCCAGTGCTTGTGAAGCCAAAGCAGGAGGATTACTACCAGCTTGAGCCATCCTAAACTACACAGTGAGACCCTGTCTCAAAAAAGGTTTTTCTTCTGTAAAAAATTAAGAAAAACTAAAAAAAAAACCTTTTCTAAGGGCCAGCCAAATAGCTCAGCAGGTTAAAGTGCCTGCAAGCAGGCGCAAGCACTGGGGGTTCAATCCCCAGGCCTGCCATGCCTGTCCCGCCGCCCGGATGAACTGAGGCAGCAATTGAGACTTGGTGTGGTGGTGCACACCTGTAATCCCAGCTCTTGGGAGGCTTTAAATAGGCCACTATGAATCCAAGGTAGTAGTGAGACCCTGAACACCCTTCAGGGTCTCAGAGTAGTAGACCCTTCCCTAAAAATACAAGAAAAAAAGAAAAAAAACTTTCCTTCCTTAAAGAAAAAAGAATTTTAAAAATCAAAAACAAAAGGATTCTGCCTCTTCATTTCATTAGAAATAAAGGGTTGCTGCCTGTTTGGCCTATCACCCAGCTCTGTGGCACTGGACTGTAGTATTGTTTATGACCCCCAGATAATTTAGGCATTCACATACAAGGAAAGGAAACTGAACACAACTATGTCTGTCACCTCGGCTAAAAATGACAGTGAGCAATAGTGTCAAGCACAGGCTGGAAAACGACAAACTGTGATAACTATTCATTTTTCACCTTTAACCACAAGTACGAGATGTATGCAACAAAATCTAAATCAAGTCAGGAAATTGTATACAGGCTGCAGAGATAGCTCAGCAGTCTAAGCACCTGCCTGGCAAGCACAAGGACCTAGTCTCAATCCCCAGTACCACATGCCATGCTGGCCTCAGAATCCCAGATGCGCCATGCTGGCCCCGAAATAGGCATGGTGGTGCATGCCGGTAATCGCAGCACTGGGGAGGCTGAACAGGAGAATCACTATGAGTCCAATCTGTGTAGCAAGGCCCTGCATTAAAAACAAAAAAAGAAAACTATATACAGTAAACATCCTCCCTGTAGAGCCATTTTACCTTAAGGCAAGAAAATATAAAAAGTAAGAAGAAAAAGTAGAGAAATAGAAAAAGAAAAAGATTAGAAACAAGGCCAAGGGAGGATTTACCAGTTTCTCACACCTCAGGAAACTGGTAAAGAAGGCAGGAGAGAAGGAAAGAAGAAAAAATTGAACACAGTATTCGCATACTCACAACAAAACCAAACAATAAAAACAGACACCACCACCAGAGAAAGGCCCACAAGCAGTGGGGAATAAGAAATGTCTCTGCGATTTCAAGCCTGGGGTTGTGTTCGGGGGCCTGCAGTTGCATGGCACTGTCTGAGTCAGGGTGTCATTCTGCTCTCTCGGATCAGTACTGGTTGTGGCACTTTCAAATCCACAGAGCTTCAGGCTGACCCTGGCATTTGGTCATGGGGCTGGGGCCTGAATCATTTAGCATATAACCTTCTGGGCATCTCTACCTGGCCAGGGCTCCCTACCCTGGACATCTCCTGTGGCTGTCCCTCACCCAGCCACTATGAGGTTTTAACACCAGGAGCCCTGAGATGGACCAGACCCATGGCTGCTCTGAATCCTGAGTTCATTTATTACCTCTAAATAGCATCTGGCCAAACCAGGGCACAGGCGGTCACTTGCGCTGGAACCACTGCCAGCACAGCATCCGCTGCTGGGCTCTGTTCCACACGTGCACTCCTCCATAAGACCTCTGGAACCACCCGCATTCACTGTGTCTCGGTAGATTTTGATCTTCCTCTCACACCTGAGCTAGGAGCCTCCACCATCTTCCTAGAAGTCCCTCAGGTCTAACTTAATTCTCGTGCATGAGGAAATCAGCAGACTCCTTGCTGTTGTGTGATTCTGGGACCCTCACTGGAAACTTATTTCACTGTTACATGAGCCTTTATTTGTGGGCAGTGAATACAGTTGGAGGTTTGTCCATCTTTTGACCATGTTTATCTCAATTACTGTGTCTTTATGGGAAACTTTGAGACCACGAACTGTCCTGTGGTTTTTCTTTCTCAAGATGGTTTTGGCTCTTCTGGATCCCTTTGCAAATAAATTTCAGGATAAGCTTGTTAGTCTCTGTTTTTATAAGGATTCTGTTACATGTGAAGATCACCTTAAGGAATGTGCTCACCAGGGTTTTCCAGACACACAGTACCAGTGGGAGCTGTGCAAGTGCCTATGTGTGTGTTGTGTGTCCCTGCATGCCTGTGTCTGTAGAAGGAAGAGGAGAGGTGACGTTAAGGAGCAGGCTCCCTTGATGGGAGGCTAGAAAGTCCTAAGGTCCAGGTGGCAAGCCAAAGAGAAGAGGGCTCAATCCCAGTCCAGGTCTCCAGCCCTAAGCAGGTGGGGCGGCAGCTCTGGTGGTCAGGCGCTGAGGGTGAATCCATCACCCATCAGCCCTCAGTTCTGTTAGGCCTTCAGTTGGTGGGCCAGGCCCACCTGCAGGGAGGCCCACCTGCTGTACTCGTCCTGCTGTTCCAGATCTGCCCTGACAGCACCTCCAGGATGGCTTTCTCCAGTGTCCAGCAGAGAGGATCGTCATTTTAATAGTATTAGGTCTCAGTCTTCCCACGCAGGGGGCCATGCCATCTACTTAGATCTTCTCTGATTTAGCTCAACAGCAGTTTGTAGTTGTCATTGTAAGCTTTGTAATTCTTTGGTTAAATATATTCTTAAGTATTTTACTTTTTTTGAATGCTATTGAAAATGGAATAGTTTCCTTATTTTTCCTTTTCAAATTATATAGAAATACAGTTTTTGTTTGTTTTTTAATATGTATTTTAGTACAGGGACTACAGGCTTTCACTACATAGATGTAGTGATCCTCCTGTTTTTAACCTCCTAAGTGCTGGGATTACAGGCACGCACACCTGGTTTCAGTTGCCCTCTTAGCACACCCTAGGGGCAGGGCCAGGCTGGTGCACTGGGGATTGAACCCTGGTCCCTGTGCCTCTCTTAAGTAGGTGTTTTAGTCTGCTGAGCTAAACAGTTGTTTTTGCAAAACAATTTTGTGTCTTGCAACCATCCTGACTTTGTATGTTAGCTCTAATAGATTTTTGGGTGCTGTCTTGGTTACTTTTCTCTCATTGCTAGAACAAAATACACAGTACCCAAAATTAAGGCAGGAAAGGTTTATTTAGCTCACAGTGGAGGTTTCAGTTCATACTCAGCTGGCTCCAACACAGAGTGGCATGTGGCAAAGGGCAGCAGTTCATGGAAGCAGAAAACAGCAAAATAACAAGAGTAAATGGGAGGAGTAGCGGCAACAAATAGCAACTGAGAGCAAGTCTGACTCCCTTATGTTGTATTCAGGCTGCCTGCCCAGGCAGGTGTAGGACTCATACCCATAATTCCAGCACTGGGTCATGAATTAATCACAAAGTCTAGAGGTTCACCCATGATTTCAGGAGGCTTTGGGGGGACAACTAGACTCAAACCATAACAGGTGGCTTTTGGGGGATATTTTTGTATGTAAGCTCACATCATGTGCAAACAGCCATGCCTTATCTTTTCCTCTGCAGTCTGAATGACCTTTACTGCACTTGCTTGTCCACTCTCATTGCTGGAACCTCCAGTACAACATTAAATGAAACTACAGGAGCAGATCCTGTTCTCGTGTTCCTGCTCCTAAAGGAAAAGCTTTCAGACCTTTCCATTACATATGATGTTAGTGATGCTTCCCCCCCTCTCAGGACACGTAATTGATCCCAGAGCCTTCTCACTGATGTGTACGCATTGACCTTGTGATCCTCTTGCTTCAGCCTCCCATGGTTCTGCAATTATAGGCCTGTGCTACCATGCTTGGCATAGCTCTGGGTTTTTTGTAAATGTGTTTTATCAGTTTGAGGAGGGTCCTTTCTTTTCCTAGTCAGTGTTTTATCACCAAAAGATTTGAATTTTTTTAAAGAACATTTATGTATCCACTGAGGTGAGCATACAGCCTTATGGTATATTACATTCATCTTCAGGTATAGAACCAAACTTAGGTTCCTGGGATAAATCCTGTTTGGTCACTGCAAAGTTTCAGTGTCCCCCAAAATACCCTCCAATATAGTGATGTGCTAGAGGGACCCAGCTCACTGAAAACTATTCTGTCACAGTGAAGAATCATCCCAGAGAGGACCGCATGTGGGTCAGTGGAGGCCAGGCTCGTGATGCAGGCTGGGCAAGCTGTGGGTGTGAACACTGTCTGCTCCTGGTGGAGTGGGGCACACGGTGTGATGCACGAGAGCTCATGCTGGGCAGGCCCCTCAGCCTGCTGCCCTGAGTTTTTACTGGGGCTCAGCCATGTGGACCTGGTTGGTGACCTCACAGCTGGCCTGATTCTCCACTCAACCTAGGCCAAGCTATACCACATTTCCCCCGCTATGCAGCCCGTTCTGTGAGGCTGGGCAGCTCGAACCCTTGGAGGTAATCTCCAGGAGCCACAGGCAAGGCCAGTCCTCTGCTGGACAGGAGAAGCCTAACATGTGCTTCATGACGTGTAACCCTTCGCAAGGTGCCAGAGTAGACTTACTGATGTTTACTGAGGGTTTTGTGGGGATATTCACAAGGGATATGGATCTTGAGGGATGTGTGCATGCGCATGTGTGTGTGTGTATGTGTGACACTTTTGTCTAGTTTTGGAATCTAGATAATTCTGTCTTCAGAATGAAGAGTTTGTAAAGGATTAATGGTAATTCTTAATAGTTTGGTGGAAGTTTGATGATTTTTCTCTATTTCTTTTCTTTTTTTAAATTTTTTTCTTTGGCGGAACCGGGAATTGAACTCAGACCTTTGCGCTTGCCAGGGAAGCACTTATTCTACTGAGCCATCTTCCCAGCCCCCTTCTTTTCATTTTTACTGATTTCTATCTTCATTTCCTGTCTGCTTTCTTTGGCTTTATTTTGTTCTTTTTGTTTGGGCATCTGTGATGGAAGCTTGCTTAGCTTTCTGCGGTTCCTGATTGTTGTATATGCATCTTAAGTGGTTTCAGGTACTTTTTTAAGCACTGTATTGATTGATTGATTGATTGATTGATTGATTGCAGTACCAGGAATCAAACTCGTGACCTTGCACTTGCCAGGTAGGCATTTATGCCGCACTGTTTTATATGTGTATCATATTGTTTAATTTTAATGCATTTAATTAGTTTTTGTGTGGGTTTTTTTGTTTTGTTTTTCTGTGCAGGGTCTCAATACATAGCTCAGACTTGTAGTGATCCTCCTGATTTCTGCCTCCCTAGGCTGGGATTATAGGCATTGTGCCACTGTACCCGGACTCCATTGCTGCCTCAGTGTTCCCAGGGATAGGGCCAGTGTGGCATATGGTACCAGGGATCGAACCCTGGCCCCTGTGCTTACCCAAGCAAGTGCTTAGTCCACTGAGCTATGCTTCTGGCCCCTTCGTTTCATTGTATTCATTGATTTCTCTTGAAACTTCACAGGCCCATATAGTCAGTTTTATGTAATTTGCATGTGTTTGGATATTTTCCTGTTGTCTTTCTCTTGCTACTTTGCAGTTTGATTCCGCTGTGGATGGAGAACACACCTTGGGTGATTTCCATCCCCAGAGGCTTACTGAGGGCAGCTGAAAGGCTGTGTGGCTCTGAGGAGGTGGCCTGTCCAGGCCTGTTCTGTGCTGCTGCTGCTGTTGCTGTTGCTGCTGCCGCCACCGCCACTGCCGCCGCTGCCTCCACTGGATGGTTGCTCTGTGTGCTGGTCAAGGCCTCTTGGCTGATGACTGTTGGACTCTGAGAACTTGTGGATTTCTATCTATTTGTGCCCATTGTTGAGAGTTAGGTATCGAAGCCTTCAGGTGTCATTATGGACTTAAATCTCACTCTCCTTTCATTCTGCCTTTGTCTGACAATTTTGCAGCTCTGGATTGCTGTTCTTAGTAGATTGACCATTTTATCCTTGTATAATGTTCTGTTTTTGATAATACCTTCTCTGAAGACTATTCAGTGTACCTTATAACCTCTTCTTTTTTTCTTTGCAGTACTGGGGATTGAACCTAGGGCCATTGTGTTGAGCTATACCCTCAGCCCTTTAAACATTTTGGCTTTTGTTTTGACATAAGGTCTTGGTCAAACTTGTAGTCATCCTGCCTCAGCCTCTCAGTGTGCATCACCACACCCAGTTCTCTTCCATTTTCTTTTTTCTTTTTTCTTTCGGAATCGGGGATTGAACTCAGGATCTTGCACTTGCTAGGCAAGCACTTATTCTATTGAGCTATCTCTCTAGCCCTTCCATTTTCTTTTGATCCACGTTTATACATATTTCTTGAGCCTTCTCCTTTTAAGTAGCCTATAATTATTATAACTGAAGTAAGTATCTTGAGTTTCTTATAGTTGGTACCATTTTTAAATGTACTCTGCCAATCTCTGTTTCTTAATTATTGTATTTAAATCAAACACATTTAATTTCTGATATGCTAGGTCTGATCTGTCATTCTATGGTTGCTTTTTATTTGTGCTGTTTTTCATGCCTCTTTTCTTTATCCTTCCTTTTGTAGGTTGCTTGCTTTCATTTACTGTGATTTCGAGTAGCTTTTTTCAGTGGTTGCTTGGGTATTGCATTATATATGTGTAGCTTGTTCCAGACTGGTGTCATGATTTTGTCAGTTCAGCGAGATAGTCTTATCCCATCTTGTGTCTCATGGCCCTCCCCTTCACTATGTGATTGTCTCAGTATTTTGGCTGCAGAGTTAGAACCTCATCTGTTGGTGTTGGAAGTTTTCTTCTGCCATCAAGCAGTTTAGAAATGCAGAAGGAGAAGGAAAGCCTGCTGGGCTGTGTTCTTTGTTCCCGGGTTCCTGCTACTGTGGCCTTTCTCATTGGAGAGCATCCGTGTGCCACCAGGGCAACCTCTGGTACCAACTCGCACACATTTTCTGTCTTTGCAAGCATCTGGACTTCCCTGTTCATGACATGTTTTCCTCAAGTGTTCTGCTCTGGGTTGATCGTTCTTTTCCTTCCATGTAAAGAATATTTAGTGTTGCTCTTTCCATGCTAGATCAGTATTATTTTTCTCAGGCCATGTTTAGGTTCTTTTGCTTGCTTTCAAGTTTCAGAAGTTTAATTATAATAGGCTCACAGTAAATACCTTTGCATTGTCCTACTTGAGCTTTCCTAACCTTGAATGACATTGGTAGAATGTTTAGCTAAACCACAAGAGGGTGGTGAGTGTTTTCTGAAGGGCAGCAGCAGAATGCAGAGTGGCTTTGCTGCTGTCCCATGGCAGAGCTTGGCTGTAACTCTGCCTTCTGTGCCAGGTTGGGGCAAGCACAATGGACAACCCTCTGCTGAAATACAGCGCCAAGGACTACTTTTTCAAGGCAGCACTCTGCCACTTCATCGTGGACGAGCTGAACGCCAAGGTAAGGTCGCACTGCTGTCCTCCGTGGGGTCCAGCCGGAGTGTGTGTAGTCCATCTGCAGAGGGAGTCAGTGCTGTGGACCCATTGCCAGACTAGGAAGGCTGTTCTCCTCAAGCTCTGCTTCACGCTGTGCTCTAGAGAAGTTAAGAAGGAAACAGGAAAGCAAAGCAATTGAGGAGCGGAGTTAGCTGAGGATGGCTGGAAATCACAGTGGAATCTGGGGGTAGGGCAAGGACTTGGCACCAAGTGGCCATTGGGGCTGCAGAAGGAAGAGCTCGTGGGCATCTGTCCCGTGGCTCACTGAGGGTTGGGGAGGAAGCTGAGGAAGAGCCTCTCTACCTGGCAGATGCAGCATGCTACTGGGGAATCAGAGGCTTCCTTCTCCAGTGAATCTAAAGTTGATGAATGCCTTCTCTCCCTCAGCTTGCTCTCGAGAAATATGAGGAGATGTTTCCAGCATTTACTGATTCAAGAGAGTGTAAATTATTGAAAGTGAGTAATTATAAACCTTAAAGAAACAGCCTTTGCTCTTGGGTGATGGCGCCTCCATGAGTCTGGGTATGACGTGATTGATGCTTGCATCTGTCCACTCACACCCACAGCTGGGCAGTGCACTGCTCTTCCCGCAGCGCACAGCTGCCTGCGGGGTGAGGACCAGGGCCTGTGTGCCTCTCCAGAGCGAGGCCCCTGGGTGGGGCACCCCTTGCCCCATTCCCTGAGGTTCTGGACACCCCCTTAATGCGGCACCAAGGTTTAAAGTATCCATTTAGAAGTGGAACTTTAAGGGCCCTAACAGTTAATTGTTCTTTCATTTCTTTTCACTGCTACCAGAAACTTCTAGAAGCTCATGAAGAACAGAACAGTGAAGCTTACACTGAAGCAGTAAGTTAGACCCTTAGGTGCATTTTTGAAGATATATTTTATAGAAACAACTTCTCATTGCTGTTACATAAATTCTGAATTTTTTTTTAATTATTTATTTATTTATTTGTGTGTGTGTGTGTGTGTGTGTGTGTGTGTGTGTGTGTGTGTGGCCAGTGCAGCCCACCAGGGGGCGGGGCTGGCTGGCATGTGGTGCTGGGGATTGAACCGTGGTCCTTGTGCTTTGCTAAGCTTGTTTTAAGTAGGTGCTTTAGACCACTGAGCCATCTCACCAGCCCAATTCTGAATTTTTTTTAACATGATTCCAGCAGTATTTTCCAAAGGTCATGTTTTTATTTTCTTCACAAATTAGCCTAGTAATGGTGAACCGTTTAGAGCTTTCAGTTATAACAGACAGCTGCTGCAGCCCATGTGCTATGGGTCCGCCTCTCCCCGCAGCAGGCAGTTCCATTCATGAGTAGCCATCTGATTTTTTTTCTTTTGGTGGGGGTTACCAAGAATTGAACTCAGGACCTTGTGCCTGCCCGGCAGGTGTTTGTGCAGCTGAGTTATAGACCCAGCTGTCATCACTATTCTTGACTGAGGCTCAAAATGAGCTTAGCTGTGAGGCTCCTTTGAGAGAAGATACTGTGTGCTGGGGTTATTTGCTTTTTCAGTTTTTTTCTTTTGAAAATGATATGATTCATAAATAAATATAAAGTAAACTTAACTCAGATATAAAAATATAAAAACTGGAGCCAGGGATGTAGTGCAGCAGCATAGTGCCTGCCTGGCAAGCACAAGGTCCTAGTACAAATTTGATTCCTGGTACAAAATAAAAAAGTATAAAGACTAAATTCATTGTATTGTGGTATAAAATAGATCTCTTTTCCTTTGTCTTTTGTGTTTTGCCATCATTTCCCATATTATGTTTAGAATCAAGTAGATTACTCCATGTCCTCTGTTTGTGTGTTAATTATAAGCCAGGCATGGTGGTGCCTACCTGTAATCCTAGTACTCTGAGGTGGGCAGATTGCTGTAACTTCGAGGCCAGCCTGGGGTACATCGTTCAAGGCTGACCTGAGCCACAGAATAAGTCCCTCTCTCAGAAATATGTTCATCAGGACCCTGAAAATACCTTCCTACTTAGTGTTTTCCCCAAACCACTTGCATCCTGTTCCAGTGGTGCTCTCTGGCAGCTCCGTAAGATGCTTAATGGCATTCGGCTCTGGCTCCTCCCAGCTCTGCCCCCACCACAAGGTGGATTCTGCACATCATCCCCGAGTCCGGCTTCCTGTCACTTCAGTTTTGGTGTTTCCTTGCACACCTCCATATACAAAGTAGGAAAAAAATACAGGTATCTGGCACCAGTGCCCTGAAATAATGCAAAATAAAGTTTTAAAACGCTTTTTGTGGTGCTGGGGGTTAACGCAGGCCACGCTGTAGTGGGCTAATGAAGGAAGCTGGTGGGTTATTGCGGGAAGGGCAATAACAGCATGGCTCACTGCCATAGTGTTTGAGTGTTTCCTCTGAGTAATTCCTGATCCTCGTTCCTTAAACCAGGTGAAAGAGTTTGACTCGATATCGCGCTTGGACCAGTGGCTGACCACTATGTTGCTACGTATCAAGAAGTCCATCCAGGGCGATGGCGAAGGGGACGGGGACCTAAAGTGAAGCGTCTCTGTCTTCATGGCATGTAGCGCCTTCCTCTTTAGTTTGTGTTAGGGCAAAGTGATCCCATGGGATACCCATTTAATGGCTTCATTCTGTTGCCTGTGAGCCCAGCAATCTGTGTTGTTCACGCCATGTCTGCGTGACTGTGAAGCGGCTGAGTGGAGGCTCCTGTTACTGTTGTGTTCGTGACGACCAAGTCCATTTCATGCTCGGCCCCCAGAGCTAGGCGAGAAGAGCTTCAGAGCTTCCTTCCGTGATGTCCACAGGCCCCTCTTTCATGCTGCTGTGTTTGTGCTCTGTTCCCTAGACTGCAGGACTCATCTCGCTAAGAGATGCTTCACTGACTGTGCGTTGGCATCTGGATGTATTCTTTTGGTGTGTTCAGTCTGGGGTGGATATTAGGATGAATTTATGACCTCATTAACAATCGTTTCTTTTTATTCTCTAATATTTTGACAGCGCTAGTGACAGCTTGCTTTGCTTTTCTATTGTCTGTGTGCTTACATGTGTGTGGCAGAGCTCAAAGCAGTAGTGTCTGCAGGAATCACTTGCTTTGGCAGGAGCAGCTCACGGGCAGGACTGGCTTCTTGTGTGGATGAAAGTCAAGGTGGGTTTTATGGGTTTGCACTCATGCACATACCCCCAAGTTTCTAAAATGTGTGGGAAGCGGAACTGGTGCTTTCTCAGGAGACCATCTCTGCTTTGTGTGGGGTGAGAGTGCAGTCATTGGGGTGTCTTGCTCTTCGTTCGTGTCTGTACACTTGCAGGCGCTGCACTGTGTGCCATGCTGTGCTCGTGACAGTCTTGTCAGGTGTGTGGACTCTCCCTGGTCAGTGTGTGAGTGTGTGATTGCCTTCGCCATCTGTTGAGTGCTCAGGATGGCACGGGAAGTGAGTGTGCCTGGTCAGGTGAGCCTCCTGCCTCCATCCAGGCACTGGCTTGCGTCCGAGCTAGTGGGTTTATTGCAGCCTGTGCTGTCCTCTCAGGTCCATGACCTGTGTGTGCTCTTGAGCTGAGCGTGTGGTCATTACGGGTACTGTACTCAGACATGGGCCTATTCCCGGAGTATCCTGTGCATATTTTTGTGCGGAAGTGGTTTGAGATGCATATGTTGCCTGACGTCTCACACACCCCTTTCTAAATTGTGAAGATTTAGGGGGTGAGGAGTACCTGATGAGGTTGCCATACATTGTGGCCCTTGGCTAGGCTTGTTAGGCTTTTGCTGTGAAGAAGAATGGCTTTTCCAGGCCAGCAGAGAGGCTGGAGGAGGAGGACAGAGAGCAGGTCATCAATAAGTAGAAAAGCACATGCTGAGCCTGATGTGGAGGTCACTGTTGGGCGACTCAGCCACTGTGTTGATGGGCCAAGTGTCCTGGGGTGCCAGAAGCTCGGTGGTGTCCCAGCGTCCAGTTGAGTGGGTATAGAGGAACAGATCCTGGAGTTTCACCTGCAGGGTTCTTGATTCTAGAATGAAAGCACCCATCAGTGAGGGGAGGGCTTGGACCAAAGCCAGAGTGGGTGCACCTCGACACCCAGGTAGAATGTACTCTGAAGGAATGGCCAGAGGAAAGTGATTTCTGTTGCCGCACCTAGTGTTCCAAGCCAGCCTCATGCACACCTGGAGCGAGAGGGCAGGTGGCTGTGAGTCCGTTTTAGCACCAGCCACCAAGGAGCTGTGTTTGTACACCAGCTCAGACTCTTCTTGGCCTTGTGAAGTAGATGCCAGGTGCTGTCTCTGGGCGTTTTGTTTAGCGTTCAGCATGAGCCCTCACAGGTCCATTGTAAGAAGGTATAGTTTTCACAAACATCAGCTGTATTATTTCACCAAGTCAGAAAGTGGCTTATTTCTATTAAAATAAATGCTAGGACCACTTCCTGGAGTAAGAAATAAGTTTTGTTTCTAGTATTTCATGTGCCAGGGATATAGCTCAGCAGCACAGTACCTGCCTGGCAAGCATAAGGTCCTGAGTTCGATTCCCAATACCAAAAAAATAAGTCTTGAAGCTCCCTGGTGGTCTAGTGCTTAGGATTTGGCACTCTAATATTTCACGTGAAAAGAGTAAAAATAATTACAATGGCAAGAACAGACCTGCCAGAATCAGTGAAAGGAGAATGAGAAAAGAGCCCAGGCAGTCACATGCGAACTCGCTTCCCCGCTGTCCTGTGGACGCAGGGCAGTACTGGTCTCAGGATGCCCGGGAGGTGGTGGTGCAAACTTCAGAATGCCATCCCTGAGCAGAACAGAATGATCATTTATGTTCCAGTTCTTGTCTTTTCGCAGCTCTGGGGTCACTTCATAGTTAAAGTCAGTTCGTATTTCTTACAGGAAAGCTTTGCTTTTTGTGGCAACAATTTTATAGCTTGTGTGAATTCCTTTTTTATTTAATGATCTGAAAACAGTATTTTTGCACACTTGTGACCATGCGTGGCGGCGTCACTGTAACCGAAGTACACGCACCAGCCCTTGTGCAGTCATTGTTCCTCCGGTGTTGCGCATTCCCAGTGTTCAAACGCAGACCTTCGAGACTTCTGTGGAGCTCTGCGGCACCGCATGCCTGTGCCCTGCCCACTGCAGCGTGACCTGAGACCACAGCAGGCTCCTGCCTGTGAGATCCCAAGTTGCCCTTGCAGGAAGCAACAGTATGACAACCAACCACATAACAATAAACCTACCTTAGCAAAAAGAGTGTATTTGTTTTATGTGAACCTGTACAGTAAATAAAGTATAAATTATGACTATCTTAATGAGTCTTTCCTACATTGACATGTTCAGAAGTAACTTACTTTCCTCAAAGTTTAGGTAGTGTCATTCATATTCTGCAGGTCCTCACGCAGGCAGGCCAAGGTGCAGAAAGGAACCCCAGCTCCACTGCTGCTGGTCACTGAGTGTGCGTGGCAGCTGCTGGCCTCGGGCACCCATCCTTTCCCCAAGGTCTGAGGGCTCCATGCTTACTTGCACGTGGAGTGGTGCTGGAGGCCTGTGTGCTGTGCAGAGACAAGGACCCCAGAAGCCAGGCCCTGTCTCCAGGAACAGGTGGCTCTGTGGGGTATGGCACCAGCTCCTCCTGCCATGCTGTCGCACAGCCTTGACAGATTATAGCTCTTCAAGTAATTTCAGAGCAGGCTTGAGGAACGCCTGGAAGAACAGGCTGTCCCAGGCCAGAAGAGGTAAGAACTGTTAGGCATGGAAAGCCCCATGGGTCTGCTCAGTTTCCTAACAGGAAGAAGTCAGGTCTACCTGTGCTGCCTGGGAAAGAGGTTGTACAGAACACCAGAGGACAGTTTCTGGGCAGCCAGCGACCCATGTGACCCACGGGCCTGGTGTAGCCGGTCAGCTCCCTCTGCGCCCATCTGGCTGCCTGTGCACCCAAGCCCTGGTATGAGTGCCTTCCCCCAGCTACAATACTGTTGCTGTTCCTGGCCCACAAGGTGTAGAGCTGGCTCACTGCACAAGCGCCCATTTCATTTCAGAAGTGTGTAAGTCCTTAATATGACAAGGTGTGACATCATGCCGGTCAAGGCCAGCTCACTGCATGGCAGATCTGCCCAGATGGTCACCACAGATGGCAGTCTCCAGAGGGCTGCTCCACTTCCTGGCCCTTTTTCCCAGCTGTATAGTACATAAGCTTAGTAAAACCAAAGGCTGCAGGGCTGGTGAGATGGCTCAGTGGTCTAAAGCACCTACTTAGAACAAGCTTAGCAAAGCACAGGGACTGCGGTTCAATCCCCAGCACCACATGCCAGCCAGCCCCGCCCCCTGGTGGGCTGAGCTGGCCACACACACACACACATAAATAAAATTTAAAAAATAATAATTAAAAAAAAAAACAAAGGCTGCAGAGCCTAGGCTGAGTGTTTCTTTCACACAGAACAATTACAGTGGCCCCAGGTCACCTCCATAACCTGACACCTTGGGAGCTATGTGCCACACCACTCAAGAATTGTCCTCATCGCCTGCTTGGCACAGACATACTGGGTTGGCCTTGCATTTACCAGTGGGGCTGTATTTGCACTGGGAGAATTAGAGGACCCAACACGTCTCCTGCAGTGAGGTCCCGGAACTGTGGGCACCTTGCTTTCAGGGACAGTTGTACGCTGATGTGGGGAAGGGGACAGAGGCAAATACAGTGTAAGTCATGTCCCTGGTCACACTGAGGGGACAGGCAGGAGTGCCCTGGTGTTCACACCTTGCCAGCTCCTGTACAGCAGGGCCCATCTCCCCCTGCATGCTTTTGGAGTCCAGTTAGGTAGCTCGGCAGACCCTGACTTAAGTGTCACTGTATATGTGATTAACATTAATCTTCTACAGACACTAATTTATGATCCTATAAATAAACTTGTACCTGGAGAACTACTTCAAAAAGAAGACATTTATTAACACATTAAACAACTTTGTGCAGAACTTCTAAAGAAACAAATTCAAGACAAAAATTCTTCCAGCAGGTAACAAAATACTCTATTGTTTGAATTCCTTTCCATCAAGATGATTTTATCCCATAAAATAATCCATCAGTTGTGCAGTCTCTTCTTCAGACTGGAACGGCTATGTGCAGTCACCAGGTTTTGTTCTGTAAACACAGCTGGGACACAATGACGTGGTCATAACTGAATCTGGAGTAATTCAGTCAGGCTATCATGCAGTGTGAGATGTCACCAGTGCCAAGCACACAGGCTTCCCCGGTCCTCAGACACAGTAGGAGTCAGAGCAACAGCTGCAGAAGGAACCTGTTTCCACGCCCTGCAGCCAGCCTGGCACCTACCTCAGTGCAAGGGCGAAGCGCCTTCCTTGACAAGGACGGGTGTGTGTGCAGCAAGTTTAATAAATTAAGGATGCGGGGGGAAAAAAATCCACCAGGAATAGAACTCTCCCTTGAAGTTGCTCCTCTGAAACTAATAGGCTTAGACTTATGTTCAGATCAAAGCCTTTCACAAACACAGCCACATACCCAGGGCCCTGGAGCAGCAGTGACAGCAGAATCCTTTCTGGTAGTAACTTAGTTCAGCAGGAGAAAGCCGGAGGAGCACTGAGGCCCGCAACTGGCTCCCAATAAGGCACAGTCTGAGACAGGCATGCACGGGCTTTGGGCCCTTTGAGGCTCTTGCTGCTCCCAAGGGAGCGGGTCTGTGGCAACTGCTAGCTGGCTGCAACCTCTCAGTTTGCAAAGGAAGAGGTGGGGGTTCTGGAACGACAAATCAAGTGAGAAAAACCTAGCACAAACATGAATTCTCCACAACATAAGACTTGGCTCTTGTCACCCCATGTTTTGCTACGTGTCACTAAAGCCCCTTACTGCACTTGTCACGCCTCTCCAAAGTACTACACTACCTCACTAGATTCTTTGGTAGGGCAGCCTTCACCTTTTATGAATGAAACTAAACAGCCACATGTCATTTCTCAAGTAGGTTTCTTGACAAACTCAGCTGCACATGTGAGATGGGACATGCCCACTTATGAGAGTTCCATTTGTCCTTCCTGTTTTAGGGCTGGCAAGTAGGGTTTGGAATGAATGCAGTAACCTCTCGTCCTTTGAGGGTTCCCACAGCAGAGCCAACAGCTTCAGCTCCATAAGGAAGCAGCAGCTGAAATGATACGGTCCTGGCTGTATTTTGGCTTGGGAGAAAACACTTTGAAGCACGTGGCATCTGAGGCAGGGAGGGGCCTGGAAGACTGAGCTGAGCACTCAGGAGCTGGGTGCTGCTGCCCTTTGTGTGGTGGACGAGTGTGGGCCAAGCGTCAGGCAATGCACACGGCCTGCACCAGGGCTCCAGGAGCGGAGATCATGCAAGTCAGTGCACCGAGGGAAACATTTGGTGTGATGGAAACGTGCTCCGTCAGGAGCATCTGCAGAAGCCACACCAGCCCACACCTTGCACGTGGACAGTGAGAGACTTCTCAGCTGCTGTGCATCGCGGAGCAGGGCTGCTGCCGGCAGACCACTCACTCGATGCTGCTCAGAGAGTGAAGCTGTGTGGGCATCGAGTCTGTCTGCGGGGTCAGCTCACCAAGCTCACCCATGGCAGTGGCAAGCAGAGCATCCTGGGATACCACAGAGGTGTCTACCTTGCAGGGTGCTTGTGCACCACTGTGTTCCTGCCCAGCAGGCGCAGAGCCTGACATGGTGGCCAGGCTGTCAAAGTGGCCGTTTTCGGCAAAGGACAGCAACTTATCCGGAAGTTTGGGGGGCACATACTCTTCATCAGGCTGCTCTGTCTTGTGCTCCTCATCATTCTTGGGTGAGCCATCTACAATAACAAGGAAAGACTTCCATGGAGTATTCTTATCGTGGATCTACAAAACAAACAGCACAGAGTCACTACAAGCGCCTCTCTAATCTCCCAACTTAAGATACTCCTAACAAGGGAATCTCTCAAAACAATCCTTGTCGGGGCCGGGGAGATAGTTCAGTAGAATAAACGCTTGCCTGGCAAGCACAAGGGCCTGAGTTCAATCCCTGGCACAATCACTGTCAACATAAATTCTGCCACTGCTGCAATGAAGACCCCTTTCACCAACAGCTGTGAAGCATTTGGCCGCGCACCAGGGACACTGCTATCATTGTGCAGTATGGACTGTGCCAACATGGTGGCGCCACTGCCTCCCCCAGCCCAGTGTGTCTCCCAGGATGCCCGTTATTTACTGAGGTGTGCCTCCGGAGGGTGGACTTGTCGGTGAATGTCCGTCCACATGCGTTACACATGAATGGCTTCTCCCCCGTGTGAATGCGACGGTGGCGTTGGAGGGCGTTGAGCTGGGTGAACTGCTTCCCACACTGGTCACAACAGTAGGGCCGCTCCCCTAGGCGGAGAGAAAGAAGTGACTGGGAGAGCGACCTCTTCACCTGCTGTGATGACTACACAGCGGAGCACACTGTCCGCAAGTGACCCCTTCACCTGCTGTGATCACTGCTGAGCACACTGTCCGAAAGCCCTGGAAATCCTCAGCACTCACGTAAGCCTAAATCCAACAGCGGGAGGGAGCAATCTGTCTGAGTCACAGACTTCATGTCTATACCAATAGTGGGCCAGAATGTGCCTGGAGCTGGTATTCCATCTGCAGAGATGACACTGTCTTTCCATAGTTAGAGAAGCAACCTCCAAGTCCCTAGTAACTGTGTGTGTGTGTGTGTGTGTGTGTGTGTGTGTGTGTGTGCTTATGAGCATACACACCATTACTCTTAGGGATAATCTGAATGTAGGCTGTACGTATCTATAGTGACACCAACACCCAGTGTCTCATTTCTGCAAAGTGACAAGGGTGGCCCCTGCGGGCACATATAAATGTTCTATCCTCAGGATCAGAACAGGCCCCAAAAGTGCTATTATAACATCAGGGTTTGACCATTTTTGGGGGGGAGGTAGGTAAAGCTTCCAAAATGCTTCCTAGGAAATCTGAAACCCTGGAGCCAAATCTCTTGCCACCTTACACTGCCTCCCTGGGACACTGTGGCCATACCTGTGTGGACTTTTACATGCTGGTAGAGTGAGTTCCGCTGTGCGAAAGTCCTGAAACACATTTCACACTTATAGGGCTTGGAGCCTGTATGGATTCTATTGTGGTGCTTTAAGTACTCCTTAGAAGCAAAACTCTTGCCACATGTTTCACACATAAAAGGCTTTTCACCTACATGAAAAGATGAAAGAAAATTAGAAGCAATACTTACGCATTGAAAGCAGGTGGGAAGAGTAGGTCCACACTCTTAAATGCCCCTTGGTGGGTGGCATGTTAGGCCTCCTAATTAAAACTATTATAAAACATAAATTCACACAGGACACTTGCTACTTGCTGAAAGCTGGTGCTGAGCCTCCTTAGAAGGCCAAGAAATACTCCATGAGACTGGAATTCCAGCTGCTATTCGGCCAGCTTACATCTTCGAATAATTTTTTTTTTTTTTTTTTTGGCTGGCTCAGGCTGCCTTAAGCGCAGGTCTCCTAAGGCATGGGGGGTAAGCTCACATCTTAGAAACCTACTTACTCCAAACAAAGACACAGTTTCACTTCTGTTTGGATTGTTAAATTTTTTTTTAAAAAAAAAACATTGCTGTGGATCTTTATCAGAATAAAGGACACTGTTAAAAGGAGAAGTTTTCAGTGGGTACGTACTGTACTTAGCATACTACACTGCCATGCTGTACGAAGCTAGCTCTAGGGCAGCAGCCCCAGTCTCCAGCCTGCAGGGCGCTGCCAACAGTTGAACAGCTCACTTTTTGTAGCCTCAGACTTTCATTCTCACAGCTTGGGCTCATCTAGTGAGCAGGAGTGCCCTGGTTTCACAAAGAGCAAAGTTAAAATGCTAGCTTTACCAAAACTTGAACACATTAATTATCATCCACTACCAACTCTGGTTATGCATGGGCCCTGAGAGTGCCCCGCCCCACGGGGCCCTGGGGCTGCTCCCCTGCAGTACGCCTGTTCACACTAAACGCACAGCTCCATCTTGTCTGCATTTGAACTCAACACCTTTATGACCGTGCTTAGAAGTCCAAAACATAAGGAACTGTACAATCGCCACAGCATGCATGGTTAGATTGTGTATGTTTCTGTGTAGCTCACAACAGGATGCTGAGGCTCACAGACAGATCCAGGATAAAGCCAAATTAATAAATGTTCTCCCTCCTATGCTCAAATTACACTGGAAGGATTTGGGGAAATAGAGGAGTTGATCCCACCATCTCACACAACAAGGAATCAGACAGCAGTTGGTTTTCTTCTGATCTTCCATAGAGTTGGGATTAACTGTGGGTTTAATTGAGCATTTTTAAACTCAGCCTCCAAGCCCAGACATATTCATGCCGCTCAGAGCCCGTACTCTGGATGGCCATGTTGTAAGCCAGGGCCCACATCTACCTGAGGGAGCTGACTGAACCATTTCTTGTGGCAGAATTACAGCGTATCACTTTTGTCATAGTCTGGACAGTTTCTATAAGGACAGATACCTGGAAATGGGCTGCATCCCTGGGACCTGTTTTGCACCTCTGGAAACAGACCCGGAAGCCAGGATTCTGCCGAGTCTCCAGCATGAGATTTTTACTCTTCTAGATCAGAAAGCTAGGATGGCTTTAGCCTACACCTCCTGGCAAAACCAGCAGTTTCCCTCCACAGCTAGGAAAGAGTGCATCAGCGCAGCGTGGTATTTACCTGTGTGGACCCTTTTGTGGTAAATCAGCATGTGGTTCTGAGTGAATCTCGCCCCACACTCATCACAGACAAAAGGCTTTTCCCCTGTATGAATTCTGAAAGCACAACATCCAGAGGTGACTCAGGGTGGGTTTCAAGGCTCACTCTATAATACAATGTCTACTCCATACTGCCAATACCATCAGCTCCGAGGGAGGGGCCGAGAGCTGTCTCCACCCCACTGTGCCCAGAGCGTCTGGGCAGGGCCAGGAGGTGGGCCTGGTACCCTGTGAGTCCATAGAGCTGGGACCAATGCCTTGCCCACTGTGCAAAGCTCATGCCACTGGGCCTATGCAGGGACTGTGCCCCACAGCCAGCTAGTAATTGTGATACTTCCTCCTTTAGGATGATCAGGCACAACACCCTGGCAACAGTTGCTGACAAAATACTATATGGTCAAGCCTTTCCCCTCAATTCCTCACATGCCTGGTCTGGAAAGAAGTTGCTCTGGACACTGGGGCGTGTGTCCGAGCAGTGCCTGCCAGCACTTCACCATGACCAGCCAGGCATCACCGCACTCCTCCTGCATGAGTTTTCACTTCCCACACTGAGGACAGCGGGCCTGGGAGTGGTTGTGGCCGTGGGACAGCGTAGGAGCTTAACTGCCCTATGGGAATGGGCTGGAGCTGGACAGAAAGTTACTTGGAAATGGACTGCCACCCCCTACAGCTCAAAACTTCACAGTACAGTCCTGATCCCAGATTAACCAGGCCACACCTTGCACACAGAGCCAGCAGGTGTCATCTCATTGACTGTCCCCAGCTCTTCCTGGGGGTACAGAGGGAACCAGAATGGGTCCCTTGGCTGGTCTAGACCTGCAGTGTGACTCTGGGTCGTGAAAGACGGTAGGTCTCCTGCCCCCAGCCTCCACGAGGGTGGGAGTGCCATTTCCCAGTGCCTCGCTACCTCCTCCGAAGAGAACGCATGCTGTCCCCAAGCCATCACCCAACTCTGGCCACCTGGACTGAGTGCCGCCAGCCCACCCATGCCTTCCCACTCCTCCCCACGCCTCCCAGCCCAAATACTGTACCTCAAGTGGGTCTTGAGCGCCGAGGGCTGCGAGAAGCGTGCACCGCAGTCAGGGCAGCCATGAGGCCGGTCACCCGTGTGGGTACGCGAGTGCAGGCGCAGCGCTGTCTTGGAGCTCAGGCCCTTGCCACACTCGGCGCAGCGGTGGCGCGCACCACCGCCCTCGTGCACGTGCAGCACATGCCGCCGCACATCCTTCTGGCGCTTGAACTTCTTCCCGCACAGCTCACAGGGGAAGTGGCGCTCACTGCTGTGCACCAGCAGCTGGTGGCTCCGGAGGTTGCAGCGATTGGCGAAGGTCTGGCCGCAGGTGTCACAGCGGTACACCACCTCGGTGGCCACACCATGGTGCTGCTGGACATGCTTCAGGAAGCTCTTCTCATACAGGAAGGCCTTGTCACAGAGCGTGCACTTCAGATTGCTTTTCTTCCTGCCCTCGTCGCCCTCACCGTCGCCTTCACCCTCAGCCTCCTTCTCAGGTTCCACTGCCTTCGCCCCCTGCAGCGCTCCCTCCGGCTCCACAGGGCAGTCCTGGCCCACAGCTGCAGCCTGTGCTGTCTCTGGGGGTGCCCTTTCCGCATCCAGCACTGTCTCTGTGGCAGCCTCAGTCTCAGCAGGCACACTGCTGTTGGGCTGCTCCTGCGGGCGCTCACAGTCCCCCACAACCACGTCCTCTGCACTCTTCTGCTGCTCTCGGAGTCGTCTTGTGTATTTCTTTTTAGGGATTTCTACAAACACCTTCCTCCCAGCCAGCCTTCCACTCGCTCTTCTGATTTTAGAGTAGGGAGGTTTAGCCACATCTCTTTTCCTGTCTAGCTTCTCCTTGGGCTTCCTGGGTGGCATATCCGACGACAAGCCGTTGCTGATCCTGTCCCCTGTGTGATCTGAGGAGCCCACAAGACCATTGCAGTGGGCACTCTCCTTGGCTGAACTTGCCTCAGAGTCTGCTGCAGCACTGGCCTGGGGACCACTGCTGGCCTCAGCCTTTTGAGACTCTGAGAAGTTCTGCAATTCCAAAAGGACTGACTCTAACATCTGCTTCTTTAACTGGAAACAAGTTTCGGACAGGTCCAAACACTTGAGCTTTTCAGCCATCTCCAGCATCCGCTCCACCCGGTCTTCCTCCACCTGGACCTTGGTGGTATAGACAAACTCAAGAAAGGAGGCAAAGTCAGCCACCTGCACCTCATGTAAGTACACATTAGTCTTGGCCCCATCCACCCTCTTCTCATTCAGGAACAGATCCTTAAAGAACTTGCTGGTGGCTGCCAGCACCGCTTTGTGGGCCATGAAGTCTTCTCGGATGCCCTGGCACTCCACACTAATGGTGACGTCGCACAGGTGGCCGAGCAGGCGGAGCTTGTGCATTTCCTGCAGCAGGTGAAGTGGTGAGGATTTGGATTCCAGCAGAACCGTGCCACTTTCCATTTTCCTTCTTTCCAAACAGCTTTGAAAGCAAAAGCAAGAGTTACATTGAGCACATGTATCCACATCAGCAAAGGAGAAAGGAGGAGGGCTACTCCGGCTCCTGGGAGGATGTGAGCACACTCACAATGTCACTTGTCTTGTGTGACGCCAAAAATAAATACCTTTCTACTTTCTACTTCCTGCTACATTCTTACAACTGCACAAAAGGTCTTGGCAAAATCTCCCCCACTGATAAACATCAATGACTAAAGTTAAGACTGACAAAACGCAACAAAACAACTTGCTTATCTGGGCCATTTATCATTTGCTCACAGGCATACCCACACCTGTAACGTAAGTTACAGCAACAATCATGCCTAGTTCAATGATTAGGAAACCTGATCATTCAAATCAGACACACGCCGGCGGTCCTGTGGAGACTTCAAGCATTACTGCTGCTAAAAACAACCAACTAAATAGAGCATGGCTTTCCACAAGAAAAACTTCCTGAAAAGCAGTCCTCAATCCTATCCCCGTTGCAACACCCTGAACACAGCAGATGTCATCTCACTGACTGTGGTACCTCAGTTCACAAATGCTTGCTTGTGAACAACTAAACAGAAGTATTTTCCAAAATTCTGTTTTTGTCTGCAAACTCCACAGCAGGTGAAAAACAGGACCACAACCATCTTTCCTGCACAAACACAAACATGGCCACCTTTTGGAAAAGCAGGGAACAAATTAAGCACACAAACCAATGTCCCACTGTATCTTGAATCACAGGCACTCTGTGGAAAGTCATGGGAGTCCATAGCTATTAGCACTGTGCTACTGGAGCCAGGGACGTAATGTCCAAGCCGAGACTTCCCTAGATGGCAGGCGCACAATGAGCACAGTGCGTCAGGTGCTTAGAGCTTCCCACAAACAGCTGGAGGTGGCATGTGCTTTGATCCCGTTCCATAGATGCAGAACTAATGTAAGAACAGTAAGCATAATCGAGAACTGGAGCCCCCTGACATTCTCATCAGAGCCTCATCACCACTCCTCCCACTCCACTGGGACTCCTGGCCCTGGGTCCCCCCCCCCCCTTTGCTCCTTCTGAGGTGTCCAAAGATTCTTCCAGTTGTACTTTCTCCTTGGGGTTCACCCACCTTCTGTTCCTGAGCCAACCTTCCTCTTTCAAGGCCCCTGAATCTACTTCTTCACCCTCCAGAGCATTCACCTTCTTGCCAGCCTCCTTTCCCCCACATCTTGAACTTCACCTGGGGTTCCACACGTTGAGCACAGAACTCCTGTCACTGTCTGAAGAGCCAGTCCCGCCCTTCTTCCCGATAAAGGTGCTGCCTGTACCTGTGGAGGTGGTGTGTAGTGTCCAAAGCTCCAGACAACAAGGCCTGAGTGTATGCTGGTTTGACAGTGACCCCAGCCCCCACCAGGGGACAACAGGATGCAGATCTTGTCTGACATCGTGTGGCCAGCTCTCAGCCTTCCAGGCTGGCCCTCCAGGGGAGTCCTCCTAGGACAAGTGGGCTCTTAGTTTGAGTTCCCAGTTCGCTCTGGGCTAACAGGCACAGGTCACCGTCAGGGGCCACCCTCAGCCTGGGGATCGCGCCTCCCACTGCAAGTCACTCTATGCTGGCGCCTCCCAGGAGGAGCACCAGTGTCTCTCAACCCAGGTCCTCCTTTCCCGGGATCTTGCCCTGTCTGGCATCCCCAGCTCACGGGGCCAGGCCTTCACCAGGGGGCCCTGCCCTCTGCGGTGTCCCTAAGTCATGGGCCAGGTCTCCTCCTGGAGACTCTGACCTCCGCCGCGTCCCTAGGTCACAGGCCAGGCCTTCCTCAGGGGACCCTGACCTCCGCCGTGTACCCAGGTCAGGGGCGAGGGCCTCCCCAAGGGAGCCTGTCTTCCACTGTGGCCCCAGCTACGGGGCCAGGCCTTCCCGAGAGGACCCTGCCGTGTGGGATGTCCTCAGCTCACTGGCCCAGGCTTCCCCTCCCCGAGACCTTTCCCCAGGACGGTGACTGGGTTTGAGGTCCAGTTGTGCATCTTGCCCCGCCAAGTCCTCACTCAGGACCGGCACCAAGCCAAGCACTGAGCACAACCGCACTCACCTCGGCCCGGGCCGCAGTCACTGGACCAGGCCCGGAGCAGCCGCCGGCGGGGCGGGGGCGGACCCGGGTCTGGCGCAGATGATTGGCTGAAGCGGGTCCCGCCCCCATAAATCCCCGCCCTTCGCACCCGGGGACAGAGGTGCGTGCACACGTCCGGCTGCAAAGACGCTGGGGCGGGGCTACGTGAGCCAACGTGCGGTGGGCGGGGCGACCGACTGGTGCATTAGAATTTCGCCAGCACCAGCACCAGCTCTGCGGCTCGCGCCTGCGCAGCACAAAGTACCCGCGGGAGCCGGCGAGGTACCTTGGATGGGAACTTCGGGCGCTAGCAAGCGCTGGCGTCTGCTGTCCTGGTGCTGCTGGCTGCAGCGACTGCAGCCTTGCCATAGACAGAGCCGCCAGACGACCGCTCCACCGGGCAGACGCGCTGCAGGGAAAAGATCTTTCGGAGCCAGCTTCTGACTATACAGGTAGACTGCAGTTAGAGCAACTACAGAGAGACTTGAGAGGTGCCAGGGAGCGCAGTTAGTATGGGAATTTGTCGGAAAGTTAACGAAGGAAGAAGCCGGAAACCAGGAAGACCAGGAAAAACAGCCCACTCGCCCACCTCCATTAAATGCAAAGGAGATAAAGGGCAGTCATCTGAGGACTCTTATTTAAAATATGTAAAAGACACACACCCCTATACACGTTTATATGTATGTTCTCGGTTTAGCATCACTATACTTGCACCAAATATATTTTTGCGTGTTCATTAAGTTTAAATTGACTTTCTGTACCCCTTCCTATCCATCACCAAAGGACATAAAGCTATCAAAGGTCAGAAAGAACGTAGATAGAGGCGCTCAGGTTAGGATCAAAGGCAGTCCGACAGGCAATCAGATGGCGACAACTTGCAGGTGCCCGTGTTGGGGGTGGGGAAATTACTAGTCCTAAATAAAAAGGTGCCCAGGACAAAATCCACAGATATTCATTTCTGATGCCCCCCCCCCCACAACTCTCCTAGAGTAACTGTTTACCTTTCTTTTCCTGTCTTTTCCAAACCGTCTTATTTTACATATTTATTTATTTATTTAGTGTGTGGCCAGCTCAGCCCACCAGGGGGCGGGCGAGCTGGCATATTGAACCGCGGTTCCTGTGCTTTGCTTGGCTTAGCTTGTTCTAAGTAGGTGCTTTAGATCACTGAGCCATCTCACCAGCCCTAAACCGTCTTATTTTAAAGTCTTAAAGCCTGCCTCTCGACTTCACTACGGAAGCTGAGTGTTGACTTCCCACAGCAAGATCCTGGTAACTTGAGCCTTTCAAAAGAGCATGAGGGGGCGGGGATATGTACACCCTGCCCCAGATATGACACCAGCTGTGAGATTTAAAAGGACCGACTCCACTTGATATAAGAATGGACCTGCAAATGATATAGGGCAAGAAATATAACTCCCAACCTGTTAGATGTCAGATATTACAAGTTCGTGTTCCCCCAATTTTTATTTTCTCCGAATGCCTTCAGGGCATGTTTGGCTGGCTGAGTTGTGGGGATCGAACCACAGCAACCTGAACCAGAGTGCTTTGTTGAAGCAGCCACTTAAACAACTGAGCTACAGGGCAGGCCCCACCATCACATTCTTTCAAGCTAAGTTTGAAACCACAAGCTTGTGGCCATCATAGCTATAGTTAATGGCTAAGGAAACAAAAATCTCATCTCCCTTGTTTTCAGACTATGGAGGGGTTAAATTGTTGATCGCAAGGGGCCTCTGCCCGTGTTAGAAAAGCTCACATTCAGTCTCTGAAGACAAGATAAAGCTACAGATGTGGGCTGCTGACATTCCTTATTCCAGAGCAATAAAGCTACCAACTTAGAGATCAGTTCTCTTAATTGGCAAGATTTACTGCCCCGTTCCACTTCTGAAGACCACCAATTTTCTCATGCCTTTGCTTCCAATGCGCCCTCCTCTTGCTGCACCCCTCAAATCTGTGGAAACCCAGTAAATACTGTGGGTGACCCAGAAAGTCTTAGCTCCTGAGAAGGCTGAACTTCCTCAGCTCCCCAGGTATATTACACTATCTCTTTTATTTAAGCCTTCCCTGTAAGTCATTTTAGGACATTAGGGAGTAGGCCAAGTCCCCAATATGGGTAGTTGCCAGCTGCCTGTCCAGAGCCTGCTAAAGATTAGCTTTAGTCTAACATTACAACTGCATCAGAAAGACTTCTGGGTGAGCAGGAAGGGCCTGCAGGACCCACACACTGTGCTGCTCACACATACTGTGTCACCAGTGAGAGGCCTGGGCCCCTACCCCAGGCTCAAGGTACTATAGACAACTGAGTTAGGTGGAGGTGATATAGGGGGATGAAACTCCCAACTTGAAACACACCTGGGATGAGTGTGTGTTCTCTAAAACCAAAGAATGAATTTTAGGAACAAATGAAGTTAAGAGCAAAATATATTTATGGAGGAAAGAAAGCTTCCATTGGCTAGAGAGACACAGAAGGGGTACTCGAGTGGGTTGCCCCGGAATCTGCATTTTTAGGGATTTTTATAGAGCAAAATCACGAGGTGAGGCAGGTCTACGGTAGAAAACATAGGAACTCTCATATGAGGTGGGACAAAACTGTGATCAAGCAGTAAGATTACAAGCACAATTGCTCAAGTAAAACTGATTAAATCCAGCACCAAATGGGGAAGCGAATCGTGTAGACAGCGGGAATGAATGTAGAACAGAGGCTAACCCTGTAGGGGTTGCATTAGTGACTCTTCCTGGCTTCCTCAAATTAATAAGCATCTGTCTGATCTTTTGTCTTAAGGTCTGGCCCACAAAGGGAGCATCCTTCTCTCGCACAGTTGCAAGGTATCTTGTCTTCTGTGCTGTTTCCTTCAAGGGCCTAGCCCTGTCTGACTGTGTGTAATATTTCCTTCTTTTTTTTTTTTTTTTTTTTTTTTTTTGGCGGAACAGGGTATTGAACTCAGGCCCTTGTGCTTGCCAGGGAAGTGCTTATTCCACTGAGTCATCTTCCCGGCCCCTAATATTTCTATCTACCTCAGCTGCCTACAACAGATGTGTTATAGGCAGTCAGACAGGGCTAGGCTCTCAAAAGAATCCATGCAGAAGAAGAGAACCCATTAAAACTACATATGGAGGCACACCTATTGAAGAACAGACCTCAAGATAAAGATGGGATGACCAGGCCTACCTGCTTCCCCAAGGGATCAGCAATAGTCTGTAATTGGTTTCATGTGGTCCACAAGCGGTAGCTAGACATCAGTCAGTCACCCAGAGCAGTGACCATGAACTCCTGACACATCTCTGCCAAAAATGTCCTTGTTCTTGCCCCATACACTTGCCATGTGACGCACTTTCCCATTTGATCACCGTTACTTAAGCAACTACACTTACATTCTCATTGATCATGGCTTTGTTCCATGTTGTGCCCACCTCATGATTTTACTCTATAAAACTTTAAGAAGTGGGCTCTTTGGCTTCTCAGGAGCTGTTTTTCTCAATAAATATTTCCTACTTAACCTCCATTTTTCCTTAGAATTCATCCATAAAATTTTGGGGAGGGGCCTGCCCCTTAACTCAGTTGTTTAAGTGGCTGCTTCAACAAAGCACTCAGGCTCAGGTTGCTGTGGTTCGATCCCCACAACTCCAGCCAGCCAAACATGCCCTGAAGGCATTCAGAGCTAGCCAAAAAAAAAAAAGAATGTGATGTCTTCTAGTGTTGGGAAAGACTCACCGGCACCGGCTGCAAACAAAAACACATGGATACTCAGTGTCAGCAAAGCGAGGGCTCGAGCAAAAAGGCTGCCGCCTGCCTTCTAGCTTGATTTTATATATCTTGAGTCTCAGCCTTCAGGTTAGTTTAAGTAAACATAACAAGATCCCATCATATGTGTCCAAGATTAATGTTGAGGCTGTACGTGAGAACCTGCTAGGCATCTGGGAGAAAGGACGCAAAAACAGGGTGTCCTTGAGTACCAAGTGTTCTTGGTTACTCCTGCTGCTGTTGTTGCCCTGTTTTCTTGTTCCTCCTCCCACATGCCCTCCAGGTTGTTTAGCATGTCTCTATATTAACTCTTCCTTATCCCAACACTCTAGTGTACAGACAAGGTCCAGGCCCATATCAAGCTCAAGACTGTTGTTGAGAGTTAGGAAAACCTCAGGGTCTCAAAACCAAGTGGGGGCTCTACATAAAGAGTGAACAGGGAACCTCTTTCTGAGGGTGCACATCGTGTTGTACAGCAGTGACACAACCAGGGATGGATACAGAGATGGTGAGAGGCAGATCCTGAGCATTCACCTGCTGCCTGTTAAAAGCAGGACTTGTGCTTTCTCCCCGGATGGCCAGGGATTTAAACGCCATGAAACTTAATTATTCACCCAGGCCTACACATGCCCAATTGGTAACAAAAAGCAAAACAGTCTCTTTCTAGCTCTGTATATGGACTTGTTAATCATGTAGGGAGTGTGTGTCTAATAATTGGAAAAAAAAAAAACAAGCTTCTCCCATAAACACACTCCCCAAAGACTGAAGACAGCAGAGTGGGTGATTGCCAGAGACCTCCAATTATGCCTGAGAAGTCTCCATCACTGTTCCAAACCTGGGATGGTCTGGAAAGGAACCCATCCCCAGCCATAAAGACTCCAGAGCTATGACACTAAGCCTGAACTCATGACCAGGACCTCAACTGTCCCCTCCTGCTTTCTGAGCTGGAGTCCTTTCCTATCTTCTAACTTTACACTGAAGGCTTTTTTTTTAATGTAAGTTGATAAATCAGTTTTAATTGCATTATTACTAAAAGTGAGGACCCCAGCTAATGGTGACGCCTCCTGCCAGAACTGTCTGCTCCTCTTGGGATGATGTCTGAGGCATCTCTTACCCGTGTCCTTTGTGGACTGCAGATATGTGGGTTGACAGCTCAGCCTCTGTCCCCTGGGCAGGATGATCTTGGATACAGTCACTATCAGGTCATCCTGAAAGCAGCCAGGCTGGAGACAGCCAT